GGGTGTAGCCGGCCACGACATCATAGCCGGCCGCGACATCAATAACAGTTGTTATTCATTGGCCGGACCTGCTAAAAGACTTTGGCAGCTGCTGGCCAATAGGAAACAGTTGGGAGGGGCTAGCTGTCTCCAACAGCTCCGTCCAATTGTTTTTCTTTTGCCGGCATCTGTCTGATGCTTCATTAAAGCCGTCCTATGAGGTTGGGTCAGTGTGCAGCTTTTTTTAGAAATATATTTTTATTTTATTTTTATTTTCTATAAAATATTTGTATTTATTTTTTAATATTCCTTTTTTTAAATTTTGAAAATAATTTTCAACTTTTTTTTCCATTCTTTTCACCTATTTTCTTTTGTGCTCAATGCCACTGAGGTACAGAGCAGAATAGCCGAGCCGAATGAGAATAGGGGGGAAGAGCAGCGAGTGACCTGATGGAGCTTCGGCTCAGCTGATCCAGTCGAACTCCTTTTCCACTTCGGCTCAGCCAAACATTCAGAGCATGTTCGGCTGACCGAAGTGCAGCCGGAGGCAGGCGATGTACAGCGGATTTTAGCCGATATACGGCTGAAATCAGCCGTATCAGACTGAAGTGAATAGCCGAATGTTCGTCTCACTTCACTTCGTCTGGGTTATTCACTCAGCTGCCTTTGGCAGCTGTGTGAATAACTCCCTAGGTGTCAAAAAATATTATCCCATCGAATTTCATGTAGTCAATACATTTTGATGAGACACTGAGGGACATATTTATAAAACAGTTAATCTGGTATTCACCAACATTCTCTAGAGGTAAATATTCATTTGTAGATATGCCCCTATGGGTGCAGATCTTCTGCCAAAAGTGTTTTGAACTTGCAGATTAAAAGTTCAAGGGCACAGAGCTGACTAAAATGTAAGCACATCTAATCTGTGAAATATGGAGCTCATTATGAAACTGTAAAGTCACCTTTATGGTGTAATAAATAAACAAAAATTCTGACTGCAACAGTTATTATGTGGGTGGGCTGATTTAAAGGAAACCATTTTATTTGTTGTCATAGGAGCATGTATGTAGAATTTACCTAGCGCAAATGTCAATAAATGTAAATAATTTAATAAGAGAAAAGTAAAATGGCACAGTAACATGAAGAACTTTGAAAAAAGGGAGGGATTTGTAATGAACAGAGAATAAACAAACATGGCAAATATCACATAGGAAGAAAAAAATATAACTGTAAACCTGTGTTAACAATATCAAAGTTCAAACAAAGTCGCTGGCGCCAAAGTTCTTTTGAAAGGGTAGATACACCGTGACTCTTCACAGGAGGGCAGCACTTTAGACAGTCAGGGTGTCTGAAGCTCCAGCACACAGAAAACATAAAAAACAGTGCGCCTCTCTAGTGTAAAAAGCTTTAAGTGGCGATTAAAAGCAAGAATGTACTCACAAACAGCCAGTGTAAAACAAGCCTGTAGTAACAGAGGATCATCTGCGATGTGAAAGTGTCCAAATCTTCACTTCGTCTGGGTTATTCACTCAGCTGCCTTTGGCAGCTGTGTGAATAACTCCCTAGGTGTCAAAAAATATTATCCCATCGAATTTCATGTAGTCAATACATTTTGATGAGACACTGAGGGACATATTTATAAAACAGTTAATCTGGTATTCACCAACATTCTCTAGAGGTAAATATTCATTTGTAGATATGCCCCTATGGGTGCAGATCTTCTGCCAAAAGTGTTTTGAACTTGCAGATTAAAAGTTCAAGGGCACAGAGCTGACTAAAATGTAAGCACATCTAATCTGTGAAATATGGAGCTCATTATGAAACTGTAAAGTCACCTTTATGGTGTAATAAATAAACAAAAATTCTGACTGCAACAGTTATTATGTGGGTGGGCTGATTTAAAGGAAACCATTTTATTTGTTGTCATAGGAGCATGTATGTAGAATTTACCTAGCGCAAATGTCAATAAATGTAAATAATTTAATAAGAGAAAAGTAAAATGGCACAGTAACATGAAGAACTTTGAAAAAAGGGAGGGATTTGTAATGAACAGAGAATAAACAAACATGGCAAATATCACATAGGAAGAAAAAAATATAACTGTAAACCTGTGTTAACAATATCAAAGTTCAAACAAAGTCGCTGGCGCCAAAGTTCTTTTGAAAGGGTAGATACACCGTGACTCTTCACAGGAGGGCAGCACTTTAGACAGTCAGGGTGTCTGAAGCTCCAGCACACAGAAAACATAAAAAACAGTGCGCCTCTCTAGTGTAAAAAGCTTTAAGTGGCGATTAAAAGCAAGAATGTACTCACAAACAGCCAGTGTAAAACAAGCCTGTAGTAACAGAGGATCATCTGCGATGTGAAAGTGTCCAAAGTCAGTCACAGCAGGAACATGCAGCCTGGAGCAAACATCCTACTGCTGGCATGGCAAAAAGGTAATGTGTTTCTGGGGCGCCGCCCCTTCATCATCCTACTTTTTTCTTACATTTTTTTTAAAATGTGTAAATTATCATTAAAAAGTTATGTGTTATGTGTGGAGTGCCAGTGAAAAGTATAAAAATATTACCTTGCAGATTGCAGTCCCTGCACATAATGCCCAGCTTCTGGGCACTGAGAGAAGGGAGCGATACAACTAAACATGTAAGCCGGCAAAAAAATTGGTTTGGTTCATTTCATTTCAGATTTTTCATTATTGACCTTCTTCACACTAACACTGTGCCTACTTGTTCACACCTCAAAGAACATAAAAAGATCCCTAATACAGAATTGTACCGATTCATACAATTACAACACTGGGCATCTTCAATGAGAAAAAGGAAGACCCAGGATGTTCCACTCACGGGTTTTGAACGTATTTGTCTCCATACGCCGGATGGACCCAAACTGGTATCCACTCTATACTCCAAACTTAATTCCTTGACACACCTTAATAAGCATACTTACCCTGCTAGATGGGCGGATGATCTTAACCTCACTTGGAATATTGACAGCTGGGAACGGGTGTGGAGTAACATTTGTAGGTGCTCTCTTAATGTAACAAATAAGTAGGTGGCATACAAGGTTTTGTACCGTTGGTGTATGGTTCCTACCCGTTTAACTAAAATATTTCCAACCTCCTCTAACACATGCTTCTGTGGGTGTACCCTCCCGGGAGATATGTTACACACTTGGTGGACCTGTCCATTTGCTTCGCGCTTCTGGACTAGGATCTTCCGTTTATTATCATGCCTGTTTCATAAACATGTCACTAAGGATTCCACACAGGCCTTATTACATGACACCATACCTGGCTTACATACCTCCCAAGGCTATTTGGCACACCAAATATTCATTGCAGCCAAATTGACAATAGCAGGCAATTGGAAGAAACAGTTCATCACTTACAGAGAATTTACACAGAAAGTGGATAACATCATGCTCAATTAAAAACTGTCCTGTATATTGTCTGATTCTAATACCAAATTCCTAAATGTCTGGGAACCCTGGATTTTGCACCACCATCCTAACCTGGATAAGACTACCCTTAATCAACTATGAGAGGGCCTTTTGCGATCCAATGGATGAGACGGCCATCCCCAAAACATTGCTTGTGGACCCTTAATACTAACCCCTAGTCTCCATTGATACTACTTCCTACGATGGACCTTCTACCAGACATCCTTTCTTTCCTTTCTTTCCTCTCTTAAGGTTTTACACCAGATATTTATGTACTGCATAGGCCTGCATCTGCATCTTATGTATGTATTACGATGTGTAAATTATATTTTGCTACCACATTGTTGTGTGTAAAATACCTGTGTCTTTTCTACTAAAAATCAATAAACAATTTGTTACAAAAAAAAAATTTCTTTTTTACTTTTACAGTCAACAGAAGCAATAAAATAAAAATATGAGGGTCTCATAGCAATTTTAGGGGGGACCCCAACGCCAAAGAAACAAAAAAAGTGGGTAAGGTCTCAGTAAAGGGGGGGGGGGTGAGTGTGCAGCCCCCACCTCCTGCACCATACCAGGCCACATGCCCTTGATATGGGGAGGGTGCTTTGCCAGAGGGGAACCCCCTGGAAATGCACCTTGTCCTTGTGTCAATAAGGGCAAGGGCCTCTGTGAGAAGGGGGGCTTATCTGAATCTGAGTGCCCCTTTCATAATGAATGAGTAAGGGGTAGTTGTTACCCCTACTCAATCACCAAATAAAAAAAGTAAAATTGTAAATAAACCCACCACACCATAAACAAAAATCCTTGCAGGGATGATTTCTGAACACAAGAACACATGCAGGATGATTTCTGAAAATAGCAACTGTAACTTATAACAACCATTCAAATTTTACCTAGAAAGAAACAAAGTAGTCATTGGTTGCTATAAGCAACAACTCTATTGTGCTCACCTTTCCAAAAACTAAAAACTAAATTTACTGTACAAAATCAGTAAAACTACTTTCAGTGAATTCTACTGATCTTATGATGAGAGACATACACTACTGACAAATACTGACTAAGATTAAGAGGCAGCAAAGTCAAAGAAATCAGAGATTCTTATTTGCTTGCTTGTTCTGGGTTACAGATTTAACCTATTAAAGCAAGTAGGCGAGCATGACATCCAGCAAACCATCGTATTCAGTAGAGGTTTCTGTGACCAATGGCAGCTTCTCATATGTTTCTCTCATGACACGTTTCTTTAATTTGTTGTAGTTCACAATATAAAGTGAATTCAAGTTCACTAATATGTATCAAAAGTTCATGTTTAGTATACGATCAACATAAATACTCACCTGGCAGAAGCACAATTCCATAGCCCTGTATTAAACAATGTAATGTTTCACATGTGTTATAAATGCATAAATACATAAATGTGTTGTTTCACCTTGCTAGTTTTGGCACATATCATTCATTTCTTGAGACCTGTCCTATGGAAGTATTACACATTAAAACATAGACTGTTTTATACATCATAAACAAAAAAAACACAAAAGAAAGAACAATCATATGTTCACAGTAAGCATAAGTATGTTTCTTCTCACCTCTACAGGAGTGGTTGTTTCACTTTTTAAGATGATTAGGCTATGTCTCTGTCCACTTTGTGCTGTTAGGTTTCTGTCTGCAATCACTGCATGTGGCATAGTTCCTACTGGAACACCAGTGTTATAAAACATAAATGTGTCACTTCCTGATCCTGCTGTCATGCAGGCCTTGTAGCAGTAGGTCTTTGTAAGTGATCCATTCCCCCTAACTTCAATGAAATTAGGCTGTACTGTCAATCCAGGTGGAAGTCTGGTTTCAATGTTATTGTTGGCTTGTTTGTATGTATCTGCAGGGTTTGGGTTCTGAACGACACAACAAGCCGTGCAGCAACCAGTGCAGCAAGGCTCAGCAGTACATGTACACTTACAGCATTTAAGAATAAAAATGACAATCAGTGTCAAAAGAAATACAAAAGAAATAGAGCACAAAGCTATTATCAAATAAATAGTCATTTCAGAGTAGCTTGTGGTATTTTTAACCTGTCTATGGGAGTCGGGGAAAATGTTTGAAATTCTGTCCACAACAGCCACACTTATAGTGGAAGAAGAGGAAAGAGGAGGTTCCCCATTGTCTCTTACAATAACAGTCAGGTTGTAGCTGGTAATACTGTCATCTGCAACTTTCCTCGTAGTCCTTATTTCCCCTGTATGCAAGTCCACCTTAAAAAGTTTTGGATCTGTGGATTTGCCTAAGTTATAAAACAACCAGGCATTTTGCCCTGAGTCAGAGTCAACTGCAATAACTTTTGTGACAAGGTAGTCAGCATTTGCTGCTCGTGGAATCAACTCAATAGACTTTGAAACATTTGTAGGGATGGGATACAAAATTGTTGGCGCGTGATCATTTTGATCTACAACAAAAACATATACAGTAGCTGAGCTGCTAAGTGGAGGGTTTCCAGCATCTTGTGCTTGAACAACAAAGCGAAATTCCCTTAGTTTTTCATAGTCAAATGACTGGACTGCATATATAGTTCCATTGTCAGATTTGACAGAAACATATGAAGAAATGGGGAGGCCTTCAGCATCTCCTTGTAGAAGCATATACGAAACAAATGCATTTTCATTGGAATCTGGATCCATGGCTTTTACAGAGAACAGGGATACTCCTGGGGCATTGTTTTCCAAAACATACATAGAGTAAGATGACTCTTCAAATACTGGAGGGTTGTCATTCACATCTGAGATTTCCACATAGAGTGTTTTCTGAGATGACAGTGGTGGATTTCCAGAGTCTGTAGCTGTCACTGTGATATTGTAAGAAGGGCACTTTTCTCGATCCAATTTACCATCAGTCACCAGTTTATAAGTATTTTTAAATGATTTTAATTTAAATGGAAGGTATTGCTGAATTGTTAGGCTAACTTCTTTGTTGATGCCTGAATCTTGGTCAGTTACACTCATTAAAGCCACAACGGTGTCTTCTTGTGAGTTCTCAGCAACAGGAGAATAATTTGAAGTCACAACTATCTCTGGGGCATTGTCATTGGCATCAATTATTTCCACCAACACTTTGCAATGTCCTGCCATAGGAACTGGACCTTTATCAGTGGCCTGAACATATATTTCATAAGATGATGACTTTTCAAAGTCCAATGGGCCGTTCACTCTAACTTCCCCAGATTTTGCATCTAGAGTAAATAACTGCCTAACTTTCTGTGGTGTATAGCCACTGAATGAATATGCAACTTCCCCATTTGATCCTTCATCTGGATCAGATGCGTTTAGCTTGACCACTAAGGTACCTGTGGGTGAATTTTCCAGCAGACTGGCTTTGTATGTAGACTTATCAAAGAATGGATTGTTATCATTTGTGTCCATCACATATACCAAAATTTGGGCTGTGCCAGATTTTGCAGGATTGCCACCATCTATAGCTGTAAGAACCAGCTGATGAAGAGATCTCTGTTCTCTGTCTAATGATTTTTTCAGCACGATTTCAATCAGCTTACTATTCCCATTAAATGTCTTTAGGTCCAGAGCAAAGTAATTATTGTCATTTAGTTTATAAGTCTGAATAGAATTGCTTCCTATGTCAGGATCCAGTGCACTCTCAATGGGAAACCTAGCTCCTGGCATAGCTGACTCGCTGATATTTAAATAATATTCATTTCTAGGAAATCTGGGGGCATGGTCGTTAATGTCTAATATCTCTACCTCAATGTTGTGCACCTCCACAGGGTTCCCTATGACAACCCCCAGGTTTATTACACAAGGGGCATTTGGGGGGCAAAGTGCTTCTCGATCTATTGTTCTATTTACAAATAAGACTCCATTCCCTAGATTTACATCGAAATACTGTTGGTTATTCCCAGATGTTATACTGAAGCTTCGTGTGGGCAACTGCTTGAGGTCTAGCCCCAAGTCATTGATCACATTGCCTACAAAAGCCCCATGATTCAACTCCTCCCTTACTGAGTACCTAAGCTGCCCTGTAACCACGTTCACCAGCGTAAGGAGGGCTAGAGAGATCAGCCCTACACACCTCCTAGTGAAAGCCATCTTAGCAGGTAAACAGCACTCACCCGACCCCTCCCCAAATAGCCTGACTCTCACATCCTCATCTACATCTGCTCAGCTATTAAAGGGCAGCACTTTACCATACATGGCCAGCAGTCGGATGACACTGAAGGTGGCTCCTTCCCCCAAGAAATCCATGGCTTTGTTCCGATCTTCCCTTAGGTGGAAGGATGCACATATCGGGCCTGAGAACTGTTCGGAGCTAGCAGGAATTCAGCCACGCTTGCTTCATGGCTTCTCGATTCGTCCTTGTGCCGAGCCCGGCTGGATTTCAGCACATGAGCTGTGAACAGCGCCCGCAGCGCCTCTCCATTCATTCATACAGCATAGAGCAGCAGTGGGCTTGGTTTCAGCACCTGCATCGTGGACAGCGCCAGACCTGCACGTACATCAGGCAGCAGCTACTCGGATGAAACAACACGCCTTATCGTCCAAAAAAAAAAAAAGAAAGCTATTCAGCTCTTGGCTATGGAGCCAGCCCCTCCGTGCTGGCAGACTCCCTGCTTCCTGGGAAAAGCTGATCTTCAAAGCGCCAATGCATAAAACAACATGTCAGCAATACACTGGCAGCCTACAGCTCAGATGCTTCCGACAATCTCATTTCAGTGTCATAGGGAAGAAGGAATCCCCTGCCTCCCCACAGACGTGCTTGCTCCTTTTACTGAAGCAGCCCAGTTCCCAGTGTCACCAATCTTCTCTCCGATCAAGTTAACCCCTTCTGCCTGTTGTAACACCAATCACAGAACAACACATATAACTAACTCGGCTATTGTCACCCAATTGCATTCAATGCTTTAAAGTGGAAGTGTAGAAAATAAAAATAAAAATGTGGGGAGGTAGGGAAAAGAGACATACAAATTCTCTTCTGCCCCCAAAAATATTTCTCTCTTCCTCCACCCCTCAGTTATTTTTTTTGTTTGTTTTGCTTTTTTTGTGTACACTGTACAGCATATGCTGCTACTTTTACAAGGTAGTGATTGTGTTTGCAAAAGCAATTGGTGCATACATAGTGGATTGATATCCACTATAGATAAATATATTTATCCCCTAATGTCACTTGTTAAAAGAGAACTATTAGGAGAGTAAAGTGTACTCTACTCAATAGTTTGAGATAATGGGCGACACTGTAGATGTCAGACGTTGGCTCTACAGCTCAAGAACTGAGTGATCACAGCTCTGCTCACAGCTTCTCTCTGCAGAGAGCAGTGACTGTCAGTCACCTCTCCCTGCAGTTATTCCCCCCTCTCTCTGTTCTTTTACCACTCACTGAAGGGATAGACATAGGTGGGGGATGGGCACAGCTGGCTCTGGATCTAGAGGCAGAGACTACTGTCAAATAGGCAGTGGACTGGATGTGTGACCCAAAAGAGAACTAAAGCCAAAAACAAAAACAAAAAGGTTTGGCTTTAGTTCTCTTTTAATGTGCAATACATTAATAGGCAGATGAGTGGGCTGTCCAATGCACTGCCATGAATCACAAATAGTGCAGGCTGCATTTTTTTTATCCCAGCACAACTCAATGCATGGTAGTGTGCTACCACATGTTGTAGTATGATGCAACACAGGTGTGTTGGCAACACAGCACACAACATACCTAACATGCGTTACTGCAGTGCAGTGGTGTAAAAGGACCCTATAGACTCACTTGACAAAAGCGCATAATGTGCTTTATTTAAAAGAGAAGTAAAACAAATCCTTTTTTTTTTGTTGCTTCTCTTTTGGGTCACAGGAGTATATTTACAAATGTACTTCTGTGACTCAAAGTCAGCATATAGCAGGCTAATGACCACTACCTGCTGACAGCGCAGAACCAAGCTGCAGCCATGAAGAATCCTGACAATATTGTTGGAGCCACCCTGACTGCCTAAGAAACATCTGTCTCTGCCTCTCTAGAGCCAGCACCAGATGTGCCCAGCCCTGCCTGTCCCTCCAATTAGCACTGGAGTAATAGGGAGAGGAGAAGGGGAAATCCCTGCAGGGAGTGGTGACTGACAGTCACTGGTCTCTGCACGGAGAAGACCGTGAGCTGAGCAGAGTGGTTACATGATTGCTCAGCTCTCGATCTATAGAGCCAGTGTGTGACAGTTGCAGTGTCCAACACCAGCTCTAAGCAGCAAGGAAAGTGTATCTTACTATCCCTGCACTTCTTATTTAACTTTCTGTGTAAGCAGCGGTGTTATAACCCTACTAGTGCTATTATAAGGGCCATGCCGGAAGAGCAAATCTTCTCACTGCCAACAACTTTCTGGATCCCTAAGAAACACTAATCTTCTCCTATAAAGTTGCTAGCAAGCAAGATTTTGAAATGGTAAAGGCCAGCTAGGGGGCGACAATAATTAGGAGAAGTTGTTGCTTTACTTTGGTAATGCTGCTACTTGTTACATAGTTCTACTTACCCCCCTACTTGTGATGCTGCTACCTTTGATACAGTGGCGGATTCACCTGTCTCATGTCAGCCTTACGCTTTACGTGTTATTTTAATGGTTATTATATTAAAATCAATATAAAATTCAGTTTACAAAAATTAACACACAGGTCATCACTCATTTATATAGGAGGTGTAAGGCTGATGAGACCAGTGAGTAGATATCTAATGATGATAGAAGGAAAATAAGCCATTTGAGGTGGTGGTAAAATAGCACTTACTAAGATAAAATAATTTATGAGAAATACATCTTTCAACAGTTAAATGTTAATTCCATCATGACATAACATAAAGCGTAATGCTAAAATAACTAATCCATGTTAGTTTAAGCAGAACTCCGGGTACAATCCCCCACACACACACACACACACACACACTATATGTGTTATGTGCTCATTTTTGCCTAGGGTGAAAATAAAAGAGTTGTACGCACCAATCCTCTGAGCCGGCTTGCTTTTAGACCAGTGCCTGGAGCTTCTCTCCCCTCTGCTGCAGGGGTCTATGTCCCTAAGTCATCACATTCTATAAACAGTGTATAGGACTTGAGGACACAGAGGGACATACCATCACTGCAGTTGAGGAGGAGACAGACCAGCTAGGAGGATTGGGTGAGTAAAACCTTGCAAGGGTTAATCATATTTTTACCTGGTGCTCTTCTTTAATTGAGCTAGAACCTGTCATATATGGCATTTACAGCAGAGACATTTTTTTTTAACAAAAAGCCCTCAGTCACTGAATTTACTGTGATGGCAAGGTTGTATTTGTTAGCTCAAGTATATGAGCACAGTCAGTTTATATGATCTTTCCATTCATAACTGAATTAGGTTTTTCTTGTTCCTTTAAAAAATAAAAAAAATCGTTACATGTGAACATTTTAGTATTTATATGTCAACAATCTTATACTAAATGTAATAACAATATTGTATGATATTGCAGTGTTAAATTAACTGGTCTGCAAGTCAAGTGATTTGTAGACATGTGCGATTCGTTTCGTTCCGAATCGAAATTCGGACGAATTTTCGGAAATTCGGACTTCGTTTCGTTCGTTGGAGCAAAGTGACATTAGAGAAGGAGAAAAATATTTTTTCCCCCTCAAATGTCACTTTTGCTGCAAACGAACGAAACGAATAAGAAACGAATAAGAAACGAATAAGAAACGAATAAGAACAGAAAACGAAACGAACGTTCGTACGAACGCTACCGAATTTCGTCCGAATCCGAATTCCGAATCCGAATTGACTTTCACACCCGAATCCTGAAAAACGAAATAACACAAATCTGAATTTAAAACGAAACGAAACGAATTTTTGGGCAGTGCACATGTCTAGTGATTTGGTCAGTTGTAATGTTTTGATTTGCATAAATATGTGCATTCAGATTTTTTAGAAGTCTATGTTAAGTATCAGTTGAAAAAAGCATTTTCTAATCATTGATCCGCTTGGTTCACTCACTACTTACATATGATCAGAAAGTTCTGACCTAAAGTATTTGAATCTTGTACTTTATATCCCCCCTTTGTGGCCAGCTGGCATAAGCAAGAAGAAGAACAGCTACAGGGATGCTGGGGATGCCCTCTTCATATAAAAGCTGTTCACAGTGAAACCATACAGAATCTACTCTTCAACCTTCCAGATCCTTCGGCAGCTTTGTGAATAGACCCCATAATCAGTGAGTTAACTAATCATTGCATCAGATTGAAATGAGACACTTTTCTGTTTGTAGCTAGAAGTAAATACAAAAGGTGTACGTGTAATTGTGACTTCACAACTAAACTCAGTTTTTCTTCTTTCTTTTCTAGATATTTATTTAATCATGAAAAACATGCTGTAACCACTCAACTTTCATCTTTTATAACTCTAAATACTCTAAAGCAGGGGTGCCCACAATTTTTCGTCTGGAGATCTACTTTTCAAATGATGAGCTCAATGAGATCTACCAATGAAAAAACACCTGCGTTCAGGGGCATGGCGGTGCATTGAAGTCAATGGCACGGCAGCCACACACCCTGCCCGCAGAGCGATCGGACGCACCCGGAACACAGGCACGTTAGTGCCTGAATTCTGGTCTAGTGCGATCTGCAAAAATGCTGCAAGCCAGCTTGCGTGTCTGTGCGTTCCAGAGGCCGAACACTCTGGAACGCAGACTTTGTGGTGTGAACTGGCCCTCTCTCTTGGCCGTCTCTTCTCTCTCTCCTCGCTCCTTTTCTCTCTCCTTCCCGTCTGCGGCGTCTGACACATTCAGCCTAGTTCAGGGGCATGGCGGTGCATTGAAGTCAATGGCACGGCAGCCACACCCCCTGCCCCCAGAGCGATCGCACGCACCCGGAACACATGCACGTTAGTGCCTGAATTCCGGTCTAGTGCGATCTGCAAAAATGCTGCAAGCCAGCTTGCGTTTCTGTGCGTTCCAGAGGCCGAACACTCTGGAACGCAGACTTGGTGGTGCGAACTGGCCCTCTCTCTTGGCCGTCTCTTCTCTCTCTCCTCGCTCCTCCTCTCTCTCCTTCCCGTCTGTGGCGTCTGACACATTCAGCCGCACTAGCACCGTGGGAGAGAGCTCAGGTCAGTGAGCTGATCGCGATCTACCAGTGTTTGCTTTGCAAACTACTGGTAGATTGCGATCTACCTAATGGGCATCCCTGCTCTAAAGAAATAAAAACATGCGGTTTAATGGGTTGCTATACATTGAATATCACTATACCTCTGGGAGCTGCCCATTATATGTACATAATGTGAAAGTATATGTAAACTCAAAAACAAAAAT